CCCCCCCCCCCCCCCCCGCCAAAAAAAAAAAGAAAGAAAAGAAAAAACCCTCAAAAAATCAATAAATGAAGAAATAAATAAATGTCAAGGGGTGCCTAAGATGGCATGGAGTGATAAAGTAGTAGTAACACTTCAAAATGAGTCTGTTTCCTACTTGAGCATGGTACGTGTAATGAAAAAGGAGATCAAGTTAAACCCCGATATCCAATTCCAAATTAGATAAACTACCATCTCTAAATGCAAACTAGAAGGTGGGTGTTAAAATCTCTGAACAGATTTCCACCCTTGATGTTTCCTCTCAGCTGTTCTCTTTGCCACTGGAGCCATTGTCTTAGGTTCCAACTACCAACTGTGCCGCCTCCGATTATAACTTACACTTTCAGAAAGATTAATTTATCCTTAATTTATTGTCATCATTACTACTACTATTACTATTATTATAGTCCTATCTACAATATTATTTATAAGTTCATGTCCTTTGTGATTTTTCTTTCTTTCTATTCTATGTTTCTTTCTTCCTCCTTTATTCATCTTTCACCTCTTCTTCCTTTACCCAAAAAAAAGTTGACAAGATCCTAGGTTGAGGGCTAAATCTAAAACACTGGAGCGAAAAATAGGAAAAAGAAACTAATGTTAACTTCACATTATACGAAACAAGAACCAAATAATCATTCAACCCTCCAACACATAAACAAACAAATAAGCAAACAAAAGGTGCCAACTCTAACCAAATAAATCCCAACATCTCAGTTGAAATTCACATAACCATACTCACAAAAACCACCAAAAGAATCATACACAAAACATACCCAGTGTAGTAATTCTTCGGCAGATAAACATCCTTCACGGGGCCAAACCTCTCAAACGGAACCCTAAGGTCCTCAGGCCTACAAATACAAAGAACAAATTTTTATTTGTAAATTTGACCCAAAAAGGACCGAATAAAAAAATGAGAATAGGATCAGGGGGCCAGACCTCGCATCGAGAGAGATGTTGCGTACGAGGAGGCCGGAGGGGGCGGAGGAGCGGTAGGGTCGCGGGGGTCGTCGTAGCGCTTTCTCCGAGGAGGGCTGTAGCTAGGGCTACGGCTATGGTACCTTCCCATTTTTTCCCCTCTCTGGCTCGATTTTGAGAAACCCTAGTTTGTCTTGAAAACCCTAGATAGGGCGGAGGACGAAGCAGTTTGGGATTTGGGAAAAGGAGGATAATGGGGCCAGGGCTGAAAACGGGTCGGGTTTGGCCATTGCTTGTTGAAAGTTGGGTCGGGTATGCATGCAGATGGATCCGACTTTTAATTAGCGTACGACAACAATATTAAGGTTGTTTGTTTCCAAACTTTTGTAAGTGCTATAGATTTTTGAGTCATGCTTAAGGAAGTAGAAATTGTAGGGATTGTGTCAAAGTATGTGGGTCATCTCTGTTAAAGATTGACAGAGGACTTTAGCTGTTACCCAATCCGGGTCCCTCGATGACTTTTCTGTGACCGCAAGTTGTTCGGTCACCGTAGCAACAACCAATGTCTTCATCATCTATCCATTCAAGTTTTGTTACATGGATCTTATCATGTGCACTTTGCACATGGGGACCTACCCACATTTCTTGTATTAACATGAGATTGGTGTTATAATTCTGATAGAGGTACTCCTAAATTTAGACATAATATATATCGACCATCTAATGCAACAACATATTTTGTCCATGTTTAAGATCAACATGTTAGATCTTATAAAAAAACTTGAGATCTAAACCATAAAGCCATGATTAATTCAATGAGATTTACAAGAATCAAAAGAAAAGAGCGGAAGCTAATACCTGAATCCGTAAATTAAACTTGAGATGGGTTTTGGATCTTCTAACCTTAGGGTTTCTCTAGCCAAATTTCTCTCTAGATGGGGGGTGAAGAGAATTAGAGAATATAACCCTAGATTAGGGACCATAACCCCTTATTTATAGATGTTGTACATTTATAATTTGGCCCCTCATCAAATCACAATTACAACCTAGTATCTGCACATATAACCCCATGATTATATTTAAATACCCATTAACCCAAATTGATTGATCACTTTAGTGGGTTATCCTGAAGGATAGCAATACACACAGATTAATCATATGTGCCCATAAATAGATTTAATTAGATTTAAATCCAACAATCTCCCACTTGGGCACCATATGATTCCTTAAATTGTGTATAACCTTATGAGCTCAAAATTGCTATCACTGAAAAGGTATTTCCGAACAATCTCGTCCATTGACTATATCAATATAGGATCAAAGTGGCCTTCGTCACATTTATCGTGACTCGACCCATCAATGGTCACATATACCAATACAATCAAACGACATAGATCAATCATGGATATGCAGCATGAAAATTACATGCAATGTGATCAGTACATGTCTATTTTCAACTGGTTCTACTTTAGTGAGGTCAAAACCAAACATAATATAACAGAGTGTCTTAACTGAATACTTTATTCTGATCAGACAATATAACCAAAGACAGAGCACCACAATTACAAACTCCCACTAAATCATGATATCCTCAAATAATACCACACCATAACATTAGTGGTCTTTCCATATTTTCCAAAATGCGCAGTCCCGTGACAAAGTTTCACAGCCATATTCTCTGATTGGATGCCTCATAGCAAGCTACAAATTCTGCTGCCATAGTGGAGGAAGCTACAAGTGTTTGTTTGATACTTTTTCATGATATAGATCCTCCTGCTAATATATAAATGTAGCCTGATGTAGACTTCCTGCTCTCTTGGCATCCAGCAAAATCAGAGTCCGAATACCCAATGACCTCCAGCTGTTCTGATTTTCTGTATGTGAGCATATAATCTTTTGTTTTCTGAATCTGAAGATACCTCATAACCCTTTTGACTACTATCCAATGATCCATACCAGGGTTGCTTAAGTATCTGCATAACATCCCAACAATGTACGCAATATCCGGACGCGTACATACCTGAGCATACATTAGACTTTCTACAGCCGAAGCATAAGGAATCTTCTGCATTTGCTGAATTTTAATGTTACCTTTAGGGCACTGATTGAGACTAAATTTGTCTCCTTTAGCCACAGGGATGTCTCCTGGTCTGCAATCTTGCATGCTAAACCTTTTAAGTACATTATCGATATAGCTCTTTTGTGATAATCCAAGAATACCCCAAGAGCGATCTCGATGTATCTGGATCCCTAATATAAAAGAGGCGTCCCCAAGATCTTTCATCTCAAAATTCTTTGATAGAAATCTCTTGGTTTCGTGCAACATGCCTATATCATTAGTGGCAAGCAAGATGTCATCCACATACAGAACCAGAAAAATATACTTACTCCCACTGAACTTGTGATATACACAGTCATCAACAATGTTCATCTCAAAACCGAACGAGATAATTATTTGTTGAAACTTATGATACCATTGATGAGGAGCTTGCTTGAGTCCATAAATGGATTTCTTTAATTTGCAGATCATATTCTTTGGGTCTCCTGACACAAAGTTTTTTGGTTGCACCATATAAATCATCTCATCAATGTCTCCATTGAGAAATGCAGTCTTAACATCCATCTGATGTAACTCAAGATCATAATGAGCAACAAGTGCCATGATTGTTCTGAAAGAGTCTTTCGATGAAACCGGAGAGAAAGTCTCTGTATAATCAATGCCTTCCTTTTGAGTATAGCCTTTAGCCACAAGACGTGCCTTATACCTCTCCACATTACCATTTGCATCCCGCTTGGTTTTAAAAATCCATTTACAACCAATTGGTTTTGCACCTTCTGGCAATGGGACAAGTTCCCAAACCTTATTGTCTTGCATAGACTTATACTCTTCATTCATGGCATCAATCCACTGTTGAGAGTTAGAACTTTTCATGGCCTGAGAGAAGTTGATTGGATCATCTTCTAACATTCCACTACTTTCCTCATGTTCTTGGAGAAATACAATATAATCATCCGGAATAGCATTTCTCCTTTCTCTCGTGGATCTCCTTAATGGCACTGGTTCTTGAGGTTGTTGAGTTTGTTCTTCTGGAACAGGGAGTTGTTCAACATTGTCATCTTGAGGTTCCGGATTTACTTCTTGAGCAACAACAGGTATAGGAACCTGAATATTGTCAAAAGTAACTGTATGGATTGGATCTGAAGCCAATTCCTCCTCAAAACTAATGTCTCTAACCTTATTTCTCCCCCCAAACTCAAAATTCTCAAAGAATGTTGCTGTTCCCGTCTCAAAAATATTCCTTAGTGTGGGATCATAAAACTTATAGCCCCTAGAGCGTTCAGAGTACCCAATAAAGTAGCTGCTAACTGTTTTGGAGTCCAATTTCTTTTTATTTGGCCTATAAGGCCTTACCTCAGCTGGACATCCCCAAATATGTAAATGCTTTAAACTGGGCTTTCGACCAGTCCAAAGCTCATAAGGTATTTTAGCAACTGCTTTACTTAGTACTCTATTCAGAATGTAAGCCGATGTCTTTAGTGCTTCTCCCCAGAGAGACTCTGGTAAAGAAGAATGAGCAATCATACTTCTTACCATGTCCTTAAGAGTCTTGTTTCGTCTTTCGGCTACACCATTCATGCTAGGTGAACCCGGCATGGTGTACTGTGGGACGATACTGTATTCCTCTAGGTATCCTAGGTATCTAGCAAATGGTCATGGACGTTGTTCACCTGAACCATCATATCTACCGTAGTACTCACCACTACGATCAGATCTAACGGTTTTAATTCTTCTGTTGAGTTGATTCTCAACTTCAGCTTTATAGGCTTTGAACATGTCCAGAGACTCAGATTTTTCATGAATAAGATATAGGTACCTATAACGTGAGTAATCGTCTATGAATGATATACAATATTATTGATCATTCTAGGATTCCATAGGGAATGGCCCACAAATATCCGTATGTATCAATTCTAAGACATCCGAAGATCTGTTGGCACCTAATCTCTTAACTTTGGTCTGTTTTCCCTTGATACATTCAACACATACGTCGAAGTTCGAAAAATCAAGGGAATCCAAAATGCCATCAGACACAAGACACTCAACTCTACCTTTTGAGATATGACCCAAGCGCTTATGCCATAATATCGCCGAATTTTCCTTATTTAATTTACGCTTAGTACCACGTGATTCCGCATGTAAGGATTCATTATAAGAAGCAATTGTATCAAGCAAATATAAGTTATCATAAGTACTCAAGTAACCGGTTCCCACAACATTTGAATTAAAAGATAAAATGAATTGACTGTTTCTAAATGAACAAGAATAACCTGATTTGTCCAATACAGAAACAGAAATTAAATTCCGTCTAAAAGACGGTACTACAAAAGTATCTTTCAAATCCAAATAAGAATCAGTTCCTAACAACAACCTAAAGTGCCCAATTGCTTTCACATCTACCGATTGTCCGTCGCCCACAAAGATGTGTCTTTCAACATCACTTGGCTTTCGGTAGCTCAGGCAACCCTGCATAGAAACACTTATGTGAGTAGTAGCACCAGAGTCTAACCACCAAGTGTTTCTAGGTACTGAAGCTAAATTAACCTCAGAACAGACCAAAGCAAGGAACGTACCCTTATTTTGTACAATCCTTTTTTACGTGTCCAGGCTTGTTACAGAAGAAACAACCCTGATTATCCTTATGTTGTTTCTTCTGGACTGGACCCTTAGCAGCTTCATTATCATTCTTCCTTTTCTTGCCATTATCCTTAGAGGCATAGGATAAATGAGCACTTTCTGTCTTATCTTGCTTCAATATGTCTTCTTCTTGCACACGGTATGAAATGAGCTCATTTAGAGTCCATTTCTCCTTTTGGCAGTTATAACTGATCTTAAACTGATTGAATTGTGCAGAAAGAGACAACAAAACCAGATGCACCAATAACTCATCACAAAGATCGAGTTTAAGTGCCTTAAGCTTTGAAGCAATATGAGACATTTCCATAATGTACTCCCTGATATTTCCTTTGTGATACGAGTCGCCGTGCGAGCACCCTTTAGTCGCGGAATTACCAAAAGGTGGGTTGAGAAGAGGATGACCAAAACACAAGAACAATTCAGTATGGCGAAGGAAATTATCTTCTCTACATTATGAGTATGAAAAGATTACAATCCCTCTCTCACAATCTCACTAGAATCGAGAACAACCTCTCAACTCTCTCTCTAAACCCTAATACAATTATTAGAATTTCTCTCTCCCTAA